CAGTCTCCCAAAATTTTGTCGCAATCGTTTGCCGAGTCTTTCGCCGAGTTCCAAACTCAAGCAGTGAGCACCAGCAGACAACGCGGTTTAGGGTTTAGGGCGTAAGGTTCCTCTCAAAGCATCAAACCGCAGCCGCTCAAAGCCCACAAATCCTTTGCTCTTCAGGTGCAACAGCTCCAAGCCCTCCAGCACTCGGTTCTGAGAACGCGGCCACGTGAACCCCCAAATAATCAACGGTTGTCTGGCAACAAAGATTGTGGGGGCTTGTATGTACATCATTTTCGTTGCCGCTGCAAGTGAAATGTCCTACTCAGGATTCCCCACTCCCACAGTCGGTTGGATCTCCAGTTTCCTATCGCGCGCCTTAAAGGGCACGCCTGCGCCGTTGAGCACTAGCTTCGCGCCTTGCCCGAAGAGCTTGAGGATTCCAGGATTGAGTGTACAAGTCAATCCTGCTGGACAACACAATGCTGACGCTAGGCTCGACTTGAGAAGGGGCAATTGTGTATACGCAGGGACCTCGTCCTGTGATAGGGGCGACCAGTCCGCTCTTCATGTGAGGAATTGGGGGCTAGATGCAGCTGAAAAGAGCTGCTCTCACAAGTCACTACATGAGTGCACATGCTGAGATCACTTCTTCGCTGTTGCTTCGAAGGCACGGAATGATTGAAAACTTTTTGTTGCTTGTAAATCTTATAGTATTGGGCGCTATCTATGTCAGCCCGACCTCATCTTTCAGAAGAAGTTTCGTGGACATTGCAGAAAGCCTTAATGAATCAAAAGGCACCCCTCACAAGTGATCTGGGTGCCCATGCCATTGTCGCCTGAGCTGTCACAACAGGTGGAAGTGTACCCCAATATTACACCAATATAACCACATTATATACAAAAACCCTAAAATACCCTAAACCCTATACTACACCCGAAGCCATATTACCCCAATCTAGCAGACTCATAGCCTACAGTTTGATCATTTAGTGATTTTTTGCCCCAGCGGCTGAGGGCCACGCTGTATCCCAGTGTCCAGAACTCCGATGACGACCAGCACCTGCGGGCCACTCCACTGGACGAATTTCTGTTGCTTAGCTCTACCTACCATGGCGACTGTAGCCATCCTTGG